TTGTATTTCTTATTGCTTGAGGACAAGCAATGATTCAAGTGTGGGGGTATTTGACAAGGGTTTATTTTACGTATGTTTAGTGTGTTTTATTAGTTAATTTTGGTTTGATTATTTAGTTTTATAACTAAAATAACTAAGGTTTTGGTAAAAAACTACATTTTATGTTAAAATGGCTAATATTGCATTTCTATTGATTTTAATAGTAAAAACTTCATTTTTATGCAGGAATGATGATTCAACCACCAAAGGATGTCAAGTGAAGTGAAAAATAGAGATTTGGTGATGAATTCAAAGTGGTAAAAAGAAAAATGAAGTGAAAAACGTTTAAGAAAGGAAATGCAAGTCAAAACAGTTTTGACACTCTTCAGTATTTCGACTATATATGGAGCTACACTGATCGGATTGAGGTGATCTTTATACCAATTTAAAGCTAAGAAAGAGATCTACATTTGGTATGAAGACGTCAAAGTCCAATTCAGCCGTTTTCATAGTCCAAAAGTTGAAATACCGAAATTCAACTCAGCTGTCCAAAGTGGAAAACAGAGCTCCGACCAGTCTATAGTATTTTGATCATATTTCAGTCTACAAAGCTCCGATTTGGATGATTCTTGAAGCATTGGAAAGCTAACTCAAAGGGCTACAACTTTGGTGTTTTGCACAAAATCCAGTTCAGCCTTTATGATAGAGAAAATCGCAGTTGAAGTAAGGAAAAAGTGAATACACGAGTACACAAAACGTGACTTGTAACCGCGTTTTGTGTAGGCGCGTTTTCTGGCCGCAATTCTGCAATTTGCTCAGTCAATTCTCTTATGTTCAAACTACTTTCCAGCTACAATCTGCAAGAGAATTCGGTGCACATGCTTCAGAAGACAAAAGGGCAGACAAGGTGGCTTATTTTCAAGTCAAAAACAATGGTTTTTGACTATCTTAACAAAATGAGATTGGAGAATCATAGCAGAAATTTTTGACTGGTAAGGGAAGGACTTTTCATCAGTTTATATGCAGAGACATTTGGGTGGTCTGTGGGGGATTCATTCATTCATCATACGGGAGAGAACTTGAAGTGCAGAAATGTAGTTCTTTCATTTCCTTAGTGTAGGATAGTGTAGTAAGTGTAGTTAATCCATTCTTGTATAATAGCTAGATTAGGATGAAGATGGAGATGAAGAAGGAGGAGTTGAAGCTCAAGTGACATGGGTTATCTCTACTCCAATTCTTTATCTTTTGTATTGGATTCTTAACTATGGTTATAATGCAAGTTCTGGAATTTATGTTTATTATTTGTTTCTAAAGTTTATGCCTTGGGTTTGGTTGAACTTCCTATGATTATTAGTGTTTATTATTTGGCTATTTGATTGCTAGTAATTGAACAAGTTATTTAGCACTTTGGCTCTTTAAATCATGATTAATCTGGTACCATTAATTGTGATTATCTAAGGTGTTATTTCTGCAATGAAAATTGAGATTTAACATTAGTTCAATAAGTGCTAAACATGGGGAGTACACTCACGAGAGTAGAGGTGCACCTATGGGGTTTTGGTGATTAATTTCATGTAATTTCATTGAAGAAATGAACTTGTAACTAATTTCATAACCATGAGAATAGGTATGGATTGGTTATTAGTATAATTGATTCACTACGAAAGTAGGATTCAAATGCATAAGAAAATTACACCATAACTAGCTTAGATGTAGTACTCAATGATCCAAATATAGCACTTGCATGAATAGTTAGGGATACCACAACCTAATGAGCTTTTATTTGTTATTTTGTATAATTTCAGTAGGTTAAATTTGTTATAATTTATTGATAGTCTAAATAATAGAGAAGCTTTAGTAATACCGGTAATTGTTCACTCTTCCTTGTGGGATCGACCCGATATATACCCTAAACTACTAGTTGATCTGTATACTTGCAGTGAACGGGTGTAATTCGGTATTTTTTAGCTTGCACGTATGTAAAATACCCGTCACTCGGATATAAATGGATACCCATTTATAGTCATTTAATAAATAAGTATAGATATACCTAATTACCCATTGATGAGTCACTTAAAATTCTACTTATTTTTCTTTTTCATTTTTTTGCATGTTGTTTGACAAGAAATAACAGTATTTTGTTGTTATTAGATTGGTAAGACATTCAAATTTATTTGTTTAAAACTCACAAAAAATTGAGTTTAAATGTATAATTATTATAAAATAGGTATAAATGGGTGAGTCGAGCCAACCCATTATTCACCAATTAAATGGATTAAATTGGGCATCTATTTAGGCCTATTCAAAATTAATGGACAGTTATTGGTGAGCAGGTTTGGACGGATCAGTATAATTGGATTGTGATTGACACCTTTACTCGTCAAGAAAAAGCTTCAATGAAAAATATTACAAGAAGTAGACTACTTTGAATACGTATTAATTTCTACTAATTGGAAAACACTTATTAACTTTGCAGCCTAAATATTTCTATCAATCATGTCTAACTGCATTAACCTGTAAACCATTCAACGCTTAGAACTCACCAAGTTTTGAGGTCTAAGACTGGAATTTTCATTGGGAAACATTTCTGCTATAACCGAGTTGTAATTCTGCTGATTCCTAGATGCAATTGGACATAGATTGATGCTACCAGTCCAGTAGCATAGAATTTAATGCCCAAAGTTGTTTCCTTATGAAATACCATCTCTATACATGCATCAAAATACTTAACTCAACTGTAGTTCTTCAGATTTTCCCCTTTGTTCAAACTCTAGGCATTACAGTACGATGCTTTTCGTTTTCTGCTTACAGAAAGAAAATCATAAGATTCTTTTTTTTTTCTTTGAAACGTCACTCAAGTTTTTTTGTTTCACAAATTGACTGTGTGTATTTGTTATATAAAATATCCATCTATTATACATTTTTTCCCAAGTAATAAAATATTTAAAAATGTTCTCCTAATTTCAGGAAAAGCCCTATGGCCAGGGTTGGTTGAAAATCCTAGCTGCATTAGTGCATGGCTATCTCTTGGTACATTTAAGTTGGAAAAAATTGTTTACGATCGCTCAAAATAATTGTAAAGAAATACAATGGCTTTGCATGTTGAGTGTGCACTTATGGTTAGCAATATGGTAGATTAGTTCAAATAGAACAATATGGCACATCTTTCTTCGAGGATAAGTACAAAAGTACCATTTTTGCGAAAGCAATTATGAGTTATATTAACGTCTGTAATTGAAGTGGCAGACTACATAAAAAGCATAAACAAGTTGGAAGATACAGAAGAGCATCAGGTATAATTAACCTGAGTTACTTCAAATACTCTACAATATTTACAGTTGCAGTACCAGTTAGTTACATTCGCAAAAAATTTTCACCAGTCCAAAATCCTACTAATCTCTGTATTGCCTCTTGGTGCAGGGATGACACAACCATGCTAAATTATCAGAAATATCCTCATCAAACAAGCGTAAAAGGAAGAAGAAAGGGTTCCAAGACGAATCAAAGTTCAAGATGAGGAGAAGCTTCCCTGGTGATCATGCAAAGAAGACACCACTACAACTCCAATTGGAGGAATTTTTTGCTACAGCCCACGAAAATCTGACGAACCTGTTATCACCTAAATCTGTGGCTAAGAAGGTTGAGAAGAAGATTAAAACCAGCACATTTTAGCCGATGCACAAGAAAAATTGCTTGGAGGTTTATGAAAAGAAGGAAATAGGAGCAAACATCAAGAGGTTGTTGGTAATCAAAGTCGTGGGGAGATTGAGGAGATGATAAATGAGCTTCGCGACATTGGAGCTGATATTCTGAAATTGTATTCCTCCAAAATTCCGAGCCGCGAAACATCCAGCAAGGTGGGATCAATCCAGAGGCGCCAAATGCTCGTCATCTAGCAAAAAAAATAGATCTGCGCATGATTGAAGAGAGGACGAACGAGCTTTATCAGGCAGCATTTGATAGTCCTAAAAATCTCCAACATCTAGAGCCACCAAACTTTCTGCAAGGTGGCAATCTATCAGGCAAAATATAGATCTGCGCATGATTGAAGAGAGGACGAACGAGCTTTATCAGGCAGCATTTGATAATCCTAAAAATCTCCAACATCTAGAGCCACCAAACTTTCTGCAAGGTGGCAATCTACAGCTGCGCACAAATCCTTAGCAAGCCAATAATATGGAACTGCCAATCTTGGAAACTCACTGATCTAGATATTGATGATGTACTAGGAGCGGTCAATGGACTGAGTGAGGGAAAAATGGAAATAGATAAAATTTTTACCTGAGGTTTAGATAGATCAAGGATAATGTCATGATAAGTTCTGTCGCAAAGATATTCATGCCACCTTCTTCATTTTCTCTACCTTTATATATACTTCAGTTTCTTAAATGAGAGAAATTCATCGAATTAGTGAACTGCGGTAGTTGTTGTCCAATTTCTTAAATCAATAGAGTTGCATATTGTCCTTAATGGAAAATTGAGTTTGAGCAATAACGAATAAAAAATTTCTCTCATTGCTAGCCTTTTAGGCTTTAGCAAGCCTCTAAGTGCTGTTGTGAAGACATGATAAGAAAGAAAGTTTGTGACTTGTGATGTTTTGTTCATATTGAGCCAAGTTTGAAGAAGCAGAAAGAGTCAACTAGGAAATTATACTAGTTTATAATCCGATTCAATTCTGGAATATATGAATGAAAGCAGTAATTATACTTATGGATTGAGTAAAGCAGTAATAGCATTCATGGCTCTTAAAAAAGAAAAATGAAAATGTGCTATGACTAACAAATTTACGAATCTTATCCATTTCCAAAATGTTTTTTCATTTCACAAGATTCTTTCTTCTTGATGACACATTGTCGTATATAATGTGCTCAACTAAACTAGTGAGTGGGCCTTTAATCCATTTTGCTTTTACAATATAAAAATTTAAGAAAAAGAAAAAAAAAAGGAGAGAGAATTAGGGTAACAAGACTAATATAACAGATGTCAAAACGAAAACTGCAGTACATTTTTTGGTTTCGAAGTTAAACTGTACGCCATACTAGTGGAACGGCATCTGTGCTATCACTTTCGGCTGTCCATGAAGTTTCAGTATCAGCTAACAAAACAGATTCACACTCTCCTTGCTTGAACAGTTGGCTGTGAACAGTTGAACCTTTTGCTGCCCTTTTAATGTTTTCCAACTCAATGGCTACTTCCTTCATAGTTGGCCTGTTTTTCCCATTTAAATCCAGGCATCTTTGAGCCAGTTTGGCAACAGCCATAATCTCTTCCTCCATGCTCTCATGTAGAAGTTGACGATCAAGAATACTGTCGACACGATTTTCATCCATCAGGGTCAAAAACCTTGTGGCCAAGTTTAAGTGACTGTCTTCTTCTGATTCAGACGCTGATATGGGTTTTTTTCTTGTCAAGAGCTCAACAAGAACAACCCCAAAACTGTAGACATCACTTTTCTCAGTAAATTGGCTTGACTGAAAGTATTCCGGATCCAAGTAGCCAAAAGTACCTATGACGAGTGTAGTTGTATGAGTTTTATCAGCTTCAATGGACCTTGAGGTTCCAAAATCTGATACTTTGGCTATGTACTTCTCATCCAAAAGTATATTGTTGGTTTTGACGTCTCTATGATAGATAGGAATTGCGATTGCCGAGTGTAAATATGCCAATGCTCCTGCTACTTCACCTGCTATTCTCAATCTGAAGTTCCAAGTGAAGGGGAATGAATGATCAATCTGATTATGAATGAGGCTAGAGAAGGTGCCATTAGGGATAAATTCATAGACCAATAGAGGAACTTCTGTCTCTAAACAGCAACCAAGTAGTTTTACTATATTCCTGTGATTGACTTGTGAAAGAACGATAACCTCATTGATGAATGGTTCTATCTGGCTTTCATCCACCTTCATTGACTTTTTGATTGCTACAATTTTGCCATCAGTAAGCATTCCTTTGTAAACTGTTCCTTGTCCACCTCGTCCAAGTATTCGGTCTTCACTGAATCGGTTAGTGGCCTTGGACAACTCGCTTTTTGTGAAAATCCTTGTTCTTTCAATGACACCATCAGCAGATAACTGTTGTTGTAACAATACACCTCCATTTCTTATAAAAAATTTCTCCTTCATCCTTCTATTTCTTTTCCTCTTTACTATTTTACACATGGTAAAAATAGCAGCTATGAGGCATAATACAAAAGTGCTTAAGATACCACCTGCAAAAGTATAAACAATTGTGTTATTGTTTAGAAGTTATTGTTTGTCCTAAACTAGATTAGGTTTTTTTTTTTCATTTGTTTTCTTGGTGCCATAGAACAATTTGACCTAATCAGTTCGATAAATTTCCTAGTGTAGTTATACAACTTAATTAGTAGATGGCATTACATTTATACAGCTTTTAGTTGAATATATTTTCGCACAGTGATGTGCTAAATCAAGGTTTTGTGTGGTATACAAGCTTGAAAACAAGGAATGGTGACAGGCTTGATTATTTATTCATGTTATACCGAAACCTGGGCAGGACGGTGGACACTCGGAACCATTTCCAACTTTGAAAGGCAATGATTTGGCCAACAATGTAAAAGTTTACAATGTACAATTCAGATACTTACTGCCATTCAAAGTGTTGCACGAATGACATGTGACTTTTGTTGCTAAATATATTGGTTTTAAGATTGGTTTTACAAAATTATACAAGTCATTTTTAACTAATTTCAATTTATTACTAAATGTTGCACTCATTCAGAAATGGTAACACCCAAGGTTTTGAAATCCAAACCGTTCATTGATCTAGAAAAATGAATGGGTCAAGGGTTATTGGTTCAACCGTTGGGTTGACCATTATTAACCTGTGATGTTATAAATATGTTATAAATATTATTAATAAATATTAAACATGTAAAAAAAAAACAAATATTTGTAGAAACTTAAGTCATATTGTTAAATGTAATCACTTCAATTCTCATTCTATTATTCTAAGTAGTACTCCCTCCGTCCCATTAATAGTGTCACACTTTCCTTTTTTATCCATCCCAAAATGATTGTCACTTACTAAAATTGGCAATAAAAACTTTCACACATTTCCGCTCCATACCTTCAATGTGACAGCCTTTTCTTATCTTTTAGTGGGCCCAATTATGCACTTACCAAGTACCAACACTGTACTTAACAATTTGAGACTCTCACGTGAAATGCAAATAACAATCGTGCATGACACTTTCCTGTAAAGTAGTGCGGAGACATTTCATTCTTTTGGGTCCCACTTGTCTTATCACAACTTATGGCCCTTTTATCATTCAACCACGTATGGATACGTTGAAAGTCAAGGGGGTATTGTAGGAACTTAAACACATATAATTTAAAAGTCTTGCACTGTTGATAATAATTACAAGTTCCGAAGTGCGACACACTTTCTGGGACGGAGGGAGTATTATTTTTTAAGACTCAAAAATAGCTTTTATAAGTTAAAGGATTTTAAATAGTATTATTTCATATATTTTTAAGTTTCCTAAATTATATGAGTACTAGTTTATATGATAAAAATTGAAACACTTAAAAGGCATTAACAAATAAATGAAATGCATTCAAGATTTAAAAAAAAAACTAACATAGTCAAATTATATGTTATAAATGTTAAACAAGAGTTAATATGTAGTTATAGAGGGGAGAGAGAAATGAGTAGAATAAGGCAATAATTGTTGGTGTCTAATTAATTGGAGATAATTATGCAAGGCTAATTGGTAAAATATTAAATTTGGAATGTTGACCAAATTCAAAATTGTTGACTTAATTAAGGTTGGATATTAAACTGGTCGATTCACACAAAACCGTTCTGGGTCAACGATTCAGTGGTTGAATCGAATGATTCAGCTGGTTTAATTGAAAATTGATACAAACTGGTTTCTTAAACAAACCCAGACCGAAAAGAAGGTTGGTCGACGGTTCAATCGATTCGACCGGCCGGTCCAGGTTGGGTTTTAAAACATTGGTAATGCCACCATTTTTGTCCCAAATTTTGTTTCATTACATCCTAGTTTTCTATATATTCTAGTATTATTGGACTAGAGACTCTCTTGAGTGAGTGATTCAAATGTTCTACCACTGCCACTCATATTTCTTTTATCATGCAACTTTGAAGGAAGCTTGAAGGAGAAGGAAGAAAAGATGTATGCTGATGGAGACATATATATATATATATATATATATATATATATATATATGTATGTATGTATGTATGTGTTTATGTATTCGCATACACATATAGGTACATATGTCACATGTACATAGACATCTCTCTCTATGATATCTATTATCTATCTATCTATTAATTATTATTATTATTACTACTACTAAAATTATATTAACTTAAATTACTATATTAAAAGTATAATGAGTTTTGGCATTGTAAGTTTGTAAACACTTTTTAATTTTAGTTTTTGTCATGCCCATATTACCGCCATCTGTCAATTAGATTTATTGCGTTTTAATTGTGGTAGTAATTAAAGATATGAAACATTCCAAATGATTAAATTTCAATAATAATGGTAATTAAAATGAAAAACTCCCTATTAAAACTATTTAGCAATCCTTACACTCCATCTCCAATTCTTATGGACTTCAAAGCTTTTTACCTTAAGCAATTTCTTGCTCGAAATAATGTGACCAATTGCATTAGCCATAATTTTAAGATTGTAAAAGAATATTAGCATCGAAAAAATAGATGCTCTTGGAATAAAAGAGCAATATATAAGAAAAAAATAGATATTCATTTGGAGAATCTTGATATGAATATCATGAGACAGATGTATAATTATGTGCTTCTACTTAGTATGAAGAAATACTAAAAGAAAAGTAAAAATAAAAGAATCCAACTATTTCTATCAATTGAATGTCAATTGACAATTAATTGCTAGTCTAAGATAATTAAGAAATATAAATAATTTACATTCTTTACTGACCTCAATAACACTTAGAAAAATGTAAATAATCAAAATTCAACAATGCTTAGAAAAAATGTAAATAATCCAAATTAAAAAATGCACCTCACATTATTTGATTCAAATTTACAAAAAAAATAAAAAGTTCAATTGAGAAAATATAAAGTAGAATAGTAAAATGTTCACCCAAAGTTGGATAATAGCATGGTTTATATATATTATTCTTAAAAAAATTAATTCATTCTAATTGTACAATTGCATTTTGTTTGTCTTAGCAAGGAAAAAATAACAGTCAAAAGTTGGCAAATAACATTTGAAATGTTGATATAAATTTTTTTATTTGTTAAAATTTGTTGATTTCATTAGAAACTTAACCATGGATTTTATTTTTAAGTTAAAAAAGGCACATCTGGACTCTGACTGGTAAATGAGCTTTCGAAAGGGTAAAGGAAAGATGAGTGTGGTAAAAATAATTAGAATGACAAAATCTAACAAGTCAATATTTTTACTTTAATACCCCTCCAAAAATTGATTTTATGGTTTAAGTCTTTATTTTGGTAATAATTATGAATTCTATCTACTAGACTCACACTTGACATGTTTACTTGTATTTCCTACTCAATGATATCTTTTGTACAATATTAAAAAAATAATACTATGATTGAGTATACAACAATTTTGATGAAACATAATCGCATTAAGAATTGTTTATCAAAGCTAAATCCATAATTTACCAAAAAGCTCAAAATAAATTTGAAAAAGAAAGAAAGCTCAAAATAAATTAAAAAATCAATAGATCAAAGAGTTTGTATTTAGACAGTCTTTGGAACAACAATTGGTTAAAGAAATTGAAAGTATAAAATATCCTATTGTCAGATAAACAATCAAATTTCACAAAAATATGTATCTAAGAGATATTATATTTAGGTTAATATAATCAGTGAAAGTACCTAAACTACTACTAGTGTGTGTGTGTATATATATATATATATAAATATATATATATATATATATATTTGTATGTGTGTGTATATATATATAGATGTATGCATACATATATGCACATATATGTGCACATGCCCTAACATAGTACTTTCTCAAGAACATCCACAATATATCTAGTGCGCTTGACAAGATTCACTCTTTTAAATAGGATCACTAATAAAGACAACAATACCAACATTCTCATTCTAAAGATTCAAGGCTATTCTTTCACATTGCAACCAAATTCAACTGTTTCCCTAGCTTGAATTTCATTCAATACGTAAACAGATGCAATCTTATCTTCAACTAAGACAATTCGACTGATCTCATCCACTTTCAAATTTGTGTAAAAATAGCTAATCTTACTTTCAAGTAGACTTTTGAGTTTTGTAGGTGACAATTTTGATTAGTGGCAAAGTCAGGTGCCTAAGGTAAGGTGGGTCATTTTCTAATACCACATGAAATATAGTAATTAATTATAGATTTATGATCAAAGAGCTTCTATGTTAAAAAATACCTTCTTTTTTTGTTATGTTATTTATACATTGAAGTCTATATTGTGTAATAATGTAGTTGAAAATATTAGAAATGTCAAAAGATTTTATTCTTGGATTTGGATCCACATCTAATAGATCCAACAATATTCTTATAAAGCATAAAAATTATTATTTTTTAATTATTTAGAAGAGCAATGCCCATAAATATGCATATAGAAAAGTTGTCGGAGTACTTGGTGTAAAGAGTAAGATTGAGATTTTAAGAATTAAAGATTTTAAGGTTAAATCCCTCTCCCCTTCCCTCCCACTTCCTAAATCTCACATTGCTTAAGAAAATGCATTTAGAAATTAAAAGTTAAAATTAAGCATGTACACGTTATCACAATTCTAATTGGAGTCAAAAGTTTTACGTTCTCTTAGTGCTTATTAAAGTTACCAAAATTGTTATATTGCAGTAAAACAGAGAATTGAAGGGTTTCTTACCAATTAGTAATGCTCCTACCAGGATTATATAAAATCTTATACGGCCGATGCATCTTGATTTTGATTGTAGATATGGATTGATAGCAGCGCCGTAGACAAGATTATAAGTTCCTGCTGGGCAATCTGTACATCCATAAGCTTCCACATATACCCCGGAGTCTGAGTAAAGACTATAGTTGTAGTATGGACATTTATCAACCACTGTGACATCGACTTTTGATAGAGTCCAGACCAAAACAACCGGAATAAATTGCAAAGATTCAGAAAACTGCTCTGGTGACCAGTTCTGATCCACCAAGAAAGCAGATGGGCAGTATCCTGACCGCTTGAAACTTAAGCTCCTGAAATTCAGACTGTATTTGGAGAGGTAGACAGAAATTGTTGTTTGGCAGCAATTAACCCCGTTACAACTGGTACTAGTAGCCGCTTGATAAGAACTGCTGAATTGACAAATTGACGTACAACCTGCTAAACCCTTGTTCTCTTCTTGAGTTAGTACAACATTGCCACACCCAAATAGCATCAGTTTGTTGCGTATTTGTGAGTACAAGAACGGGGTTCCGGCAAGATCCAAGCTGATCCAGCTGCTGCTGCTGGTACCATTTCTCTGGGCTTGATCAGAGTTGCAAAAATAAGTCAATGGTGCATTTACTGTTACAGTTTGGTCTAGCAATGACACGTTCAATACCTCCAGGTTGAGGTTACTCAGATATGGCTTGGAAGCATTGCAAATTATGATGTATGATTTGTGAAGAGCGCATCCAGGACTCAGCCCGAATGGGTAAGGGATGGGAACATTGCCACAAGTATCATTGCATCCTGGCTTAGCTAATGATGATCCAATTGTCGGGCATGTAGGAAAGGTGATTATCCAAGCTAACAAGAAGAGGAGAGAGGAGGGTAAGTATTTTGAACTCATTGATCACCAGTACTAAGGATGGATGTGCCACAAAGTTTTCTCGAGTCCTAGTAGTTATAAGAACGAAGTGGTAAATGTGTAGCAATCTGAAGAAGAGGTTTAGTAATAGATCCTGGATGAAGACAAGCCTTATGGCACAAACTACATATATATATATATATATATATATATATATAGCAATGTGCTTTAGCAGTTGCAAGTTGGCTCTATTCTTTACTTCTTTACAAAATGACGATGATTGAAATGTATAAGACTGTACCCAAAAACAAGGATTTTTTGACTTTTTCTCAAGCAGATTAGAGCTCATGTATACTTAGCTAAGAAGCAACGTCCAAGGGAATCACTTCTTTCTACCAAAAATGAGTTACACCTGTTCCTGGTCTATTGGATTCTCATGTCTTTGCTAGGAGTACTCAAGTTTCTTAAATCACAAGACCTTGAACAGTTCAAAGTTTATAAGTTGATTTCAGAGAAATGGGATTGTTAAATAATGAAGACGGTGTAAATTTGAACTCTTTATTACAAAGAAAAAAATTGAAATGAGGTAAACATTACACGCGTCAATTAGTACATATGATATTGTTTTAGAAGTACGGCCTCTTTAATACTAACTAATTAATCGTAATTGTGCACCTCCATTGTTAATTTCCAGTTGCATAAATTTTGTGGACCGTCGAAACAGGCCCAAAAAAAAAAATGTTAAGCTGTTTCAATAAAATATTAGTTTCATTCGAAACAGGCAGCCCCTGACCAGTTTACTCCTTTGACGTGTAAAAGGAAGCTTACGACTAATGATAAGCTAAAGAATTGTGGGATGACCATGATTTGTGATCAATGTGATATGTATGATTGAGATAGATGTGTAGAAAACAAGAATAGAATATACATTTTCTTACTTGACGAGATTGGTTTAAGAATAATTTATCCAGTATTCTTCACCCTCTCAGTTGTTTGGAACAACCCTTGGTTCTGTTCCTAATCTAGATTGACTTAAAGAACTGTTTAAGGTCAATCTTCAAGATATCTACTTTCTCATTTGTAAAAGTCATTTTTAATTGTAAAGGGTGAAGCTCATTTTACAGAATTGTTCCTAAATTTTGGACACTTTATCCCCTAAAGGGTGAAACTCATTTTACAAAATTATCAAAATTAGATAAATCGTAAGCAAGGGAAGACCAAAGTTTAAAAACTAAAGTGGGATCAATTTCATATTTCGGAGGATAAAGTGTCTCAAACTAAAGTTGAATAGATTTCATATTTTAAGGGGTAAACTGTTTAAAAATAGAGTTTAAGAACAGAAGTGAAAATGCATTCATAATTTAAGGATCAAAGTGAAATATTGCCATACCATGAAGATCCATGCTAACAAAAAAGTAAAGACAGAAGGATGAATACGTTGCTCTCATTGATACGTACATAAGATTTTCTCTAATCCTATTAGTATTAAAACTAAAATAGAGTGGGAAATGTACACCTTGCAATTTGGAAAAGAGCGCTCTACTTCCTATTCGTTCACTACTTGGACACTGATGAGCCTTCGCAAGTCAGTGCCTACAAATGAACTCCGTAACTTTGACTTTGTTTGGTCTTTTTAAATTTTTTTGATAAATGAAAGGTTTTGAATCTAAAATTTTTTTATTTACAACTCTTTCTATTGTACTGTCCAATCTAACTCTCCTCCAACTTTGGTTGGCCGGTAATGAAGAAGTCCTAGAACACATAAAGTGATCGCTATGTTTTGTTTTGTGCCCTTTCTTAGCGGAAGCTGTGAAACTATAAACAAAACAATAGTAGTCGCTTGGCTAAATTCGTATACTGGCAAGAGAAAGTTTAATGAAAAATGTGGAACAACAAGTAGACTACTTTGAATACGCATTTCTACTAAGAAAACACTTATTAGCTTTGCAGCCTAAATAATTCTATCAATCATGTCTTGCTGCCTTAACCTTTGGATCATTCAAGACTTAAAAGCTAAACCTCACCAAGTTTTGAGGTCTAAAGCTGGAATTTTCACTAGGAAAACGTTTTTGCAAAGACCGTGTTGTAGTTCTGCTGATTCCTAGATGCAAATGGACATAGATTGATGCTAACTAGTCCAAGTAGCATAGAATAAATACCGAAGTTGTTTCCCTATGAAATATTATCTCTGTACATGCATCAAAATATTGAACTCAACAGTAGTTCTTCTGATTTTCCCCTTTGTTTGAACTTTGGGTGTTATAGTGCGATGCTTTATATTTTCAGGTCACAGAAAGAAAATCATGAGATTCGCTTTTCTTTTTTTGTTGAAATGTTGTTTTTGAACTTGTATTAAAACAGTTGAATGTTCCACTCAAGTTTTTTTTCCCAACAAATTGACTGTCGTGTATTTGTTATATAAAATGTCAATCTATTATACGTTTTTACCAAGTAATTTCAGGAAAAGCCCTATGGCTAGGGTAGGTCAAAATTAATCCAAGCTGCATTAGTGCATGGCTATCTTTTGGTACATTTAGATCGGGAAAAAAAATTGTTTACGATCGCCCAAAATAAGTGTAGAAAAAGAAATACAATGGCTTTGCATGTTGAGTATGTATTTATAGTTAGCAATACGGTAGATTAGCACATCTTTCTTTGAGGATAAGTGCATAAGTACCATTTTTGCAAAAGCAATTATTAGTAGAATGTCCATTATAACAATGTCTTTTGTTTTGGTTAATGAGCTTCATTCATAAGATTCGGTTCATATGATATTATGTTTTTCATTTAGTGCTGTTTATTGCATTGATATAGTTATAAAGAGTTCACCACAAAACTTTATTTCAAAAAAAAAAAAAAAAAATCTTTGCCAGCCAACTGTCAACAAATTGTCCCAAAAAACAGAAAGAAAAAATGAAAAAAAAAAAATTTGTCAACAAATTGTATGAAAACAAAATATTTATATGGTTGTTAATAGCGATCAAAGTATTTCTTTTAGGAAGTCATATATGGTGCTCATTTCAAGATATAAGAACAATTGAACTGAGGTGAATTTTTGATTTTGAAATGCTGATATTAAGCTGAGGAAAAATCAGTTTTATCTTTTGGTGCAAGCACTAGGCCTTGTTTAATAGCCATGAATTTATGCCAAGGTTGACTTAATTAGCTTTTATATACCCTTAATAATCTCGTTGAAAGGAAAACCTGGCCCTAGACAAACTGTTTCTCTGTTTCCTACATATGTTTGGCAGGCATTCTTGCCCATCTAGAGGGTTTGGATTCCCTGATGAATGTTTTATTTACGGCGAACCAATGTCATTCCCATGTTGTCATCCTGAGGCATGTCAACCTCAATTATAGTATTCAACCTAGGTTAGAATGAAACTTGTTCAAGTGTTTTTTTCTTCTTTGCTTTGAGCAGTTTAGCTTGGAAAACAAAATATTAAAAAAAAGTGCGGTTTGTGCCTACATGCCAACACATGTATATGTAAGAGCTTTCTTCTCTTTTCTTCATCTTTTTTATTGTGCCTACATAGAGACCACTTGTGTTTTATGAGAAGTTCATACTATGATGCATTAATTTGTTATATTTTTTTTCTAGTGCACTTTAGATGCACATTTTATTATTTTGTTAAACAATATTTGTTATAACTACTTTCTTATTCATCAACATCTCTAAGCTAATAAAGCCAATAAATACGGGTTTATCCTTATTCACTGTAGTATGGTAAGAGAGATATGTAGTACATTTAGTTACCATGTAATATTAGTCAGGTAGTAATTATGAGAATCTTTATTAATCATCAGCTTTAGGCTAGTAATCATGAGAATCCTTATTATTCAGCTTATGCAATTAAAGAAAAATCCAGACATTGTTACATAAGGATATCTGTATAAAATTTGGAAAGTACCGTTTACTTACCCAATAATCATTGGAGCAATGAGGGGTATGTTCATGCACATCTCAAATATCAAAGTTTTTCCCTATTTGCCAAGACTCATGAGCAATATATATATGTATCCCTGTAATGTAATTAGGACACATATCACAGATCTTCTTCCTTAGACGCACATTCAAGGGCAAATAGCTGAACCCTTAAGCTCTTCATTTGTAATATTTATCACTTTGTCTATCTTTGTGAAATGGCATCAGCCTCCAATCAGAACTCCAGCAGTGTAGCCGGCTGGGAAATCATACCGTATGTTCCCCTTCCTGTCTTGACTGGACGAGAAGATGTTGTTCATCAAAGCAAGGAGCTTTCTATTACTGAAGTAAGTTTTTTTTTTCTTTTTTAATCTGTAGATGTATCAACCGACAATTTATAGGGTGCTCAGGTGTAAATCTTGTCTTCTCGATCTTTTCCAAATGGCTTGCGCGATTTCTGCATAGCATCACATGAATTCAGCAGGGCATGAAGATGGTTTGATGTAAAACTCTTTCTAATACCTGATCCTGTGTCAGGTGCCAGTTGGTGAAGGAAAGAACACTGGAAAGAAAAGACATTTATGCACTGCGAAGGTTGTAGGAACTTCGTACGTCTACTTCAAATTCCTGCAGCGTGGTGAAGATCCGCCCCAGCATGCTTTAGAATTGATTGATGTGAGTTCAGTGCTCGGTCTTTCCTAATTAAGCATCAGAGAAATATTTATTTATTTTTTGTGAAAGCATAGGCATCAAAGAATGGTAAAGAAATATAGCAGGTTCAAATCCAAATGCGTGCTAGTTCTTACACATTTGCGTCTCTGGTAATGCAGGTGGAATCTTCTCCTGAGATGGAAGAAGGGGAAATAGACGTAGAGCATCTACTACCGTTTCCTCATCTCTTGAAGGGATGGAAGAGGGAGACAAGGGAACGTCCAAACGGCACAAGAGATAAGGTAAGAAAATTCAGTTCATGGATACAAAATTGATTTTGCTGTCATACTATTGTCGATAGATAAACAAAAATTGCATGGTACATTTAACAGTATAACTTTGAATCGTGCACATTTCGACAGGGCGAAACTTTCATCAGTAGAAGCACATAAATGTTACTTCTTGT